CGCTTTACCCACTGGGAAAAAATCCCGGTATCCATTGGATAGGAGGTTGGGTGGAATTTCTTAAATATTTACCGTTATCTTATTATTAGAATGTCATATAACATCACACCTTTACTCACGAAGCTGAATGAGATGTTTATGGTGGGCCTAGGTCATATGGTTATGTCACAACTGATTGAAAGTCTGTGTTTTGTGAGCGCTGTCGTTCACACATCCCGTCTCCTATGTGTAGGCCTGTTGTCTAGTCTCAGTATTTGTGACTAGCACAGTCTGTTCCACCAAAAACGTGGCGCTATTTAATTTTAGCCCATTTAAAGTCACTGGCTTGAACACATTTACATACATAAAATACTCGTATTTCTTCATTGCAGTAAAATACGATACTTTCTTTTCGAAACGTACCCAACGTCGAGGGAAAATTTTTAGCACTCCTACTTCACTTTCTGGAGGGGCTGGCTTCAAATCAAGACCCGAAAACCGGATATACTTACAATTCTTCGATGTCTTCTCAGTTCCTCCAGGCAAATTTTGGAATAGAACAGAAAATTACATCTCGACCGCTTCTTTCAATGTGTTTTTAAATTAATTATTTACTAACAATTCTGCCATTCAACTCTATTGATCTCGTGTCAGAGCTAGCAACAACGTCATGAAGTGAACCAGAGATAAATTAAACAAGTGAATAAATGAAAGACGGCACTGTGTATAACGAGATAATAGTGCAACAGGAATATGTTACAGTGTTCGTTGAGCGACTTAATACAAATTTCTCTTAGAATTCTTATCTGCTTTGTCCAAGTTCTTACATGAAAAATGTGGTTACATTAAAGATGGTCTGTGAAGAGGCTCGTTGCGGCAGTACAGAATTTTCGTATAAACTTACAAGCTGGGAAACTCACCCAGTCCGGTTCCGTCGCTCACTTTTATTCGGTTATCTTGAAAGCCGTAAGACTTACGGACAAGGCGTATCGGACATAAAATGCGGGTTTCATTTCCGTCTACAACTTCTGATCGATATCTTTTCTCTCCGATAAATATTTATCGAGTTACGCTCGAGATTCTTGCAAAAATGGAAGCAGATTTTCATGTTATGTATCCGTTATTGTCGTCCGACTTTACCCATCATTGGAATGTCTTAGCGAATGTTAGTAAAACTACCAGAAGACCAGTAAAATATAAAAATCTGTTGAGCTGGTCTCGAGTTGATACATACGGGAAGACAGACGGGTAAACAATCAGACCTAGTGAAGCTGATCAGCTCATTTTTTTTTAATTGTCGTAGCGAAAGCAAGAGAGAAGTTGTTTGCTATGAGAACTAAAATAAGCTTGAGTTACTTGTAAGTAATATGTCATTATAGTGTAGACGTGTTAGATACCGTTAACAAAACACGCTTTAAACTGTTAATGAAATATTTGTTCGAATCTTTAATATTTGAATATTTCTTCTTATTTTACAAATTAATTCCAGAATTAAAGGTATGTTTTAAATTATTACTTAGACATAAATAACACAGGTAATTCATTTATTCAACAATTCAATGAGTTGGATTACTTCAGTAATTATGTAAAATATTTATGCGTACCTTTTCAAAATTTATAATTTTTTAATATTTATCATTGTTTGTTTAGTCTCCAGCTTTTTAGGCAGAGTACATGATTTTTTAAAATGAACACACACTACTTTTGAAAAAAACGAACCGATTACGTCCTTTCATAGGTAAGTTTTATCAGCACCTATGGGATCATAGCATCGTGGTGAGCTGTTGTAACCAAGTGAGAGTATCTAACGAGAAGATGGTGAAAACTGTATACTGAGAAGCTTTACAAATGGAACTTCTCACAGATATCACTAGGATTAGCAAATAAAGGAGGATAAAATTGATGGGGCACTCATTTGATGGGTCAGAAATACGTATAAAGATTTGGTCAGAAAACCTGAACGGAAGAGACCCATTGGAGGACCTGGACGTAGATGGGAAAATAATATTAAAAGATTTGAGGCTCTCACGGTGGTGACTATGAAGAAAGCAGTCTTCTGGGATTTGGCACCGTGTATATGTGGTGTTAACCGACATTTCGGAGGAACGTATAGCCTCCATCTTCAGGGTAGAAGAAAAAATATAAGAAATCTGCATGCGAAGAGACCGTAAGAAACGGTAAAAGCAGTCTGCTTTCTTCAGTATTAAAAGAATAATAAAGAAATAGTTCATATAACTGTGTACTGATTCATTTTGCTCAGGACAGGGACCAGCGACAGATTCCTATGGCGACGATAATGCATCTTTGGGTTCTAAAAATGGCGGGAAATTTCTTAAGTAACTGAGCGATCACCACATTCGCAAGAGGGACTATATTCCAAGGGGTTGGTTATTACATACGTCAACAATAATTGCAACATTTTAAACTTTAGAGATTGGATCCTGTTTTGTATATTATATTTATCCTATGTTATAGCCGTCAACACATAAAAAAAGGGAACAGGTGTAAGTATATATCTTACTTATTTAATGTAAGCGTAAATCGCGCTACATGTTTCGACCTATAATTTAGATCATCATCAGGCATTCCTTTTAAGATCTATAACTCAAGTGATCATGATACGGATCCATATTTATGCAAGAGATGTCTGTTATTGCAAGCAAATATATATTTATAAGGTGAGCATAGTTCTGTACAGTAATATCCTAATAAAATTCACTACTAAAAGTTGAGGATTTCAAGAACATAGAAGTATAAAAATGTACAAATGTAAACGTATCAAAGTATAGATTGCACCGTATATTTTAATGTTGGTTAGTTGTGCTTAGATACTGTGCAAACCCCTCCACAGTCGTGTGTCAATGTGCTGGAGGGGATGAGTGGTCTTCGTATTGTTTCCTGCTTGCTATCTTGTAGATCTTATTTACTAATTTTCATGTAAATAAAAATTCACTTAGTGGGGGGGGGGAGTCCAGCTGGGTCCACTCGGCACGGCGGCCACTGATAGGCCTATTGTACATGACCTGGGTGATTATGATGATGGAGAATTCGGTGGAATGAAGATTGGCAAGGGAAACCGAAGTACTCGGAGAAAACTTGCCACAGCGCCACTTTGTCCACCACAAATCCCACTTGACCAGACCCGGAATCAAACCAGGGCCGCCGGGGTGGGAAGCCAGTGACTAACAGCTTGAGCTATGGCGCGGCCTTTTCGTATGATTAATATGATCATAATTTCTTGTTTCTTCCTGTGGTTACTTTGGGTTGACGTGGAGGTTTGGGTGTTTGAAATGTTGGTCCTAATGTTTCCCCCTTTTTATTGTGTTGTTATTTGTGTAGTTGTATAGACTGAGTATATTTGTTATGTTGACAGCTATAACATAGGATAAAAACATATTTTAGTATAAGTTATGAAGATATAAGTCGTTACTCCAGCGTGATTTCCAGGTACCGTAAAAGGCAAAGTTGTCCCTATGCTTCAATAGTTAGACGCTGTGAAGACGTACGAGGGAGTTGAGGTATAGCTCCACCAATCTTGACCTCGGCACTAGCTGGAGGTGTTTTCCAGATAGCCTACACAATGTGGAGACAAGAACAGAACTAGGCCACTAAGAGAGATTGAGTCTTTAAATTATAATTAGAAGCAATATTAAACTTATACAAATTTAATGTTTAATTTTTAAATTAACTCAAATGTGAGTTTAAAATTTAACGGCGTAGGTTGCGTTTTAACTGATTACATGATAGAAAAATAAATGGCTTTTAAAAGCCGTCGATTTACCCAGAAACTGTGTTTATATGGCAGGTATATTTCTTTATAGATATGAATTCCACATCCATGTCATAGACATTGCTATTAATGATAAATCCAGCACTCCTTGAGGCGTGGGATCTGTGCCCATCGAGACACCCAAATACCAGACAAGTTCGTTATCCTCTTAAAGCACTATACGCACCACCTGCTTTAAAATGTATAAATTCTGCCTTTTGCCCACAGAGTGTAGTCACGTGTTTCGTACGATTCTCTTAATAAGCCTGGATCATTTATTGACTGGTCTTTGTAATGGAGAAGCAATGTATTTTCTGTGAGGTAGGAACGGTAGTGTTATTTACACGTTCTCCATGCTTCGGAGGGTTAAATGGCGAATTCAGCTAAGCGCTACTCTGGGTTAGATTAAACTAAATTTCCACCGAACTGAAAGTTCTGCAAACAGAATATCACTTAAAAGTACTGGCTATGTTATGTGAGGCCGTGTAGTCTGGTAAGTACACTGGCAAATGTCAAACAAAGGGCAGAACTTGCTTTGCTTTTCTCTGCTTTCTTCTTGCCAGTTGCTTGCTTGGATTACTCTTCAAACCTGAAAATGGAGCTAGTACGTTCCTCTAAAACATTGATAAGCTTATATCAGACTACACGGCGTCATATCCATGACGATATTACTCTTCATGATCACCGCCTTAAGAACCTCAAATCCAACAAATAATCAATTAATACTGTGGGCAGACTGTGAAAGACGACGTGTAAATTGATTCATACAAAAGTTATCGCTTATTGAACCTTTGAGTCTGATATCGAAATAATATTTAAAAGTTCAGTTGTTGTATCACAGAATACACACCGCGCCTCCGTTACAAAAACCAATCAGTTAATGCTGTTTAGGGAAATAACTTCTGTTTATTCTCAGAATAATCCGATGCACGTTTATACATTGTGTGGGCAAAAAGCAGAGCTTTAAATGTTAACGCACCTGGTAGTCACAGTCACCACTGTGCTATAAAGGGGTATATACTGCGAGATTTGAGGTTATTGTGGCGGTATCAAGTTTAGGGTGTTCGGCGTTATGATGCCGTGTAGTATTAAAAAGATCACCCTGAAGAAGGAAGCAGCATAACACTCCGGATACCTGGTACTAGACCACAAAACTACATGACGTCACACACCAGAAGACCGTAATCTTAAGTACTCATACCTCTAGAGAGGTAGGTTATTTTCCGAATGACCGATGGCGTCACATTCGTACCTTGAATTGAAGTAGAAGAGCGTGTAGCAGTACGGGTTGGTGGCCTTGTACGAAAATACAACGCGTTGCCACTTTGTACGATTTCTTACTTTTGTTATTAGAATAACTGATACTTTTAACATCTTCGTAACCCTCCATTGTTCTTGAAGGCTGCAATTTTGTATTCATAATCAAAAACTGATTGAATCCGCCAACATTTGACATTGCTTGCACCGATACCTGAGAATGTAATTGCTACAGGCTGTAGCAGAAGACTGGGCCAGGCTAGCGGAAATAACACCAAGATTCTTGCATTTAATTCCCACTCTCACAGCTCGTAGTCTCATCTGTGCTCAACTCCTGTTCTCACACGGTACGTCAAACATCCGAAGTTTTCCCTCTTCTTCGAGTAGGCTCTCCTGCCAACCTCTCAGCCAACTACCAACCCAGGTCGGCAGAGACTCGCTCTATTGGTAGACTATGGCCGCGGGCCGGTGGAGGCTTCGACACCACGGTGAACCAGCCGTCCCCACATGACGGCCACAAAAGTTTCGTCTAGGAAAGAGGGCGGGCGCAGAAGTGTTGGCGCTTGCGTGCGTGCATGGAGGCTGTTCACAATCAAACGTTAGTGTACATATATAGTGATTCGCTCTCAGCCTGGGATATCGCGCATCTTTACTTCCAAACATTCGCGCGGCAGCTGCAAGAAACGCAAGAAAAGTGTTAACCAAAGTGTTCAGTGAAACCGTAAGTTCCTTTGTTTGTGAAGATGGCACCGCGGAGGCTTGTAACCCTTGTGAAGCCAGTGTGATATGTTATCAGCTACAAGAATAGCTGTTATCGGCCTGGACCCAACAGGAGTTAATGTTTAAGTGGTGTTTTATTATTCGTTATTCAGGACGCCATCATCAGAATGGCTTTTGGCTTTCCGACCGTAACTGCGGACGCAATGGGGCCACTTATGAGGCCTGTGCTTCCGTTACCGTGTACAAAAATCACATCTTGCCTCACATTAGTGTTGTTAATCTCCTTTGAAACAGTTCTCCTGTCTACAGTCAGCGATTGTACCAAGTCCTTCTACGTCCATTGGAACACCACAAACCCCATGTAAGTACACAGCTGGATGCATACATATCTCAGTGCAGTGTTTAAATGACTTCTCTTTCTTATGCATCTGTTAATATTTTGTTTGGTGCGTTGTATAAATGGTCTCAGTTGCGATTTTTGCGTTGGTAAAATAAAATATTTGCACTTTTCCTGTGTCGAAATATGGATATGGTGTAGGTCAACTTTTTGGAATACATTATGAAAATTGTATTATCGTCGCAGGATGTGCTGTTATCGAAGACACGCATGGAACTTTTATTTCATGTTTGAAAGTAACATTTTTCGACAGATACGGTGACTCTCTGCACGCTGGAGAGGTAATGATCGAAAGAAAAACAGGCCGTGTCTTTTTTTCAATACTAGCCATATTCGAATGCATTCCATGCAGATTTAAAGAGCAATCATTCACTAAATATACTGTAGCGTTGTTAACAATATTTCGTACTTGCATGCAGGTAAAATGAGACATATATAGGATTCTTACCTATCGTGCCCTTCTAAATACTTGTTATGAGTATCATGGGAGTGTAGAAGTAAACACACGAATGTCAGCGCAAGTGCCCATCATATTTTCTGTAAGAATCCGTGCGCTCACTATTGTTTTGTAGTCTGTTTACTACGCTGTCAATAGTGTGACAGTTTAACGTCAAATTGGTACGGTAAACTATGAACTGGAATGGATATGGATGGAAACAGGCGTCGCTTAAATAAGGTACTGTCCTAACATTTGCTTAGTGGGATTGAGGAAAATTGCGAAAGAAATGTCAGTCAGTATAGCCGACGTCCCAGCCGAGAATCGAACCGTGCACTCCCCGAATACGAGACAAGACCCGGTGCTCTCTACACATACAGAGTGTACATAAAGTCCCAATATGTTATGTTATTATGCAAATCACGAACAGAGTTATCGATATGTCCAGGCTCGTGAAAGTGTTTTTTTCTCTTCTCCGATTCGTATTTTCGCATGCAGACAAGAATAAAAGTTACTGTTGTTTCAATGAATTATAGAGGAGCTTTATGGACGCTTTGTACTTACGGACATCTGACATCTATCACTAGAATATCTAGCGTGCCAGGTGACCAAACTCTCACCATCTTCCCTTTCGCATCAATCCTCAACCAGCCCCCTATTTGATTCTGTTGGTACGTCTGACAGTACTTGCCAAATGTGGGTTCAAATGTTTCTTAAGATTGATTATCTCCATGTCCTTAGTTAACACTGCGAATTTATCTTTCATAAGAGCTATATTTTCCTATTCCGATTGAAATGATAGCAGATAATACTTCATTTTGTTTCCCGTCGAAATTTATGTGAAGAGCGTTTTACGTTTGTAGAAGTTTTTCTCATAAAATGTTGGTTTGGTTCAGTAATGAATTGAACCCATGGCCGACAGTAGTGGAAGATCTACGCGTGGAAGTTACATTTTGGTCTCTTCATCCAGTCAGAACGGTTATTACTGTTCATTTTTTCACGGAGTCCTGTGGAAAGAGGAAACCCAGACAAACGTTAGAGGTTTAGAATCTTAAGAATAGGCGTCACTGATCAGGTATAACCCGTAGTAATTTCCCGAGACACAGATAAGCCCTCTGAAATGTAGTGTAAATCAGAGGAAGTTATGCACGCTCTAGTAGCCGTGAAGCTTTTGTCCGGCAGCCACCGAGAGCCGGGTCGATAAGAAAGACGCTGAGTTGTTTTCAGTAGAACAGTAATCCAATGAAAATTATGTTGAATTAATTTATCGATAAATGCGTCGAATGGAGATCACTCCTTTGATTAATATTATCTTAAGTCATTTTTATATGTGGGGAACAAGTTGGCAACCACTACAGAAAATGACTAGAAACCGGTGTGGGTTCGAGGGGTCATGCATGAAGCATTCCTCATAGCGAAACACAGACTTGCTGAATTTGAACCCACATGAATTAGCCCTAACTGTGCACCACAAAATAAAAATGTTCTGCCATACCAGTGTTTTTCCCTCACAATCTGATGGAGTTCTGCAGAACAGAGATGTGCGCAGGTGGACGTGTGGAATGTGCAGGTGATCTAATGTTACTTATCTGAAGGATGAGGTTGAACTACATAATATTTAAAATTCACTTCTTATCACAAGGAAAACACAGTGTTTCTACATTACAAAGAACATTAATGATGCTTAAAAATAATCGTTCTTTATTCTGAAAATCATACGAAACTCATAAATAGTGAAGCCATTATTCGGTCAGGTTGTTCAAAATTGTAACCATCGTGCTTTAAAGGGTTAAATAGACTAAAATGTAAATTTCCGAAAATAATGCTCCTTGAAGTTTCGCTTATAAGTCACAAACTGGAAAATGGTGTAAAAATAGTTAATTGTGAATTCGCATGGCACATTTAGCGAAACTGTTCAACTGATAAAAAAAACATGATCACAAAACATGAATAATTTGTAAGTAAAATGCGAAACTTTCGGAATTAAGCGATATTTAGGTTGGTTTATATATTATGGAGCGATCTCTGTACCTTTTCCAGGATAGTAATTATGAAGTATTCTTAAGACATGAAAATAAATAATTATATTATATATATTTCCGAAGCACTTTGAACCGCGGGTCGCGAATAATGTATACTTCCATGCCTGAAACTGCGGACTGGTTAAGCCTTTGAGAATCATACGAAGCCTACAGAGACATTCTGTGGACAAAACGCAGCGCTTATAAATGTTACCATAGTTGGTACGTGCAATTTGCTTGAAAGTGTTAAGTTAGGATTGTGGCAGAGCACGGATTGCTGTATGATTTCTGCGATTTAAGGATATCAGCAAGAGGTTGTTAAATGTAAGCACATCACATGAAGGAACTCAGAATTCTAATTTCTCTAAGATTTGTGTTTCTCTGATTTTGTGCACCTTAAATCTGTGGGAAGTGTCTGCAAGTTAAACCTTTGAAAAATTTCGTAGGCCACTATCGGACCCGCTTGAGCATGAACCAGGTGTAGAAATTAAAGTTATATTGATTTTTATCATTCTCCGACATTTAGAGATAAAATAGTAAATATAAAGCTTCAGCAGAAACAAGACAAGAATAGGCATTTCAGTTGCAGTTTCTGCAATTGAGATGGAATGAACGATTTACACGATAAAGGTGAAATGTCATTGCAACAGCTGACGTGTGAACGAACGGAATTAATAAGTATAGCAATCATTCCTTATCTTTAGAGGTCCGCTCCTTTGTTCGAAATCACATACACGTATCACTACTATGTCGATTAAATTCCACGTGACACTATCTCGCTTAGTTTTTGGTCAGCTGAAAAACAGCGCCTTGGAAAACGAGGACATGTATTTCTTATGACGAATGAGATAGTATTAAGTGATAAAACTGCGCTAGTGAACAGAAGAGCGCATATTCTCCATAATCAAAAAACTATAATAACTATACAATTTGCTTATTATTAAACTCATAACATTTAAGTAATTTGCGAGTGATAAAACTTGAGAGGAGACAGTGTGCTAGAGGCTGCATGGAATATGTCGTTATACCGAAATTAAACATAGTCTTAGCCAAAAATATTGCACTTAAGGATTTATATGTAAATAGACATTAACAATAATATAGCGCACTGTGATTTTGTTTATCAACTTTTTTCTTTCTTTAACGCGCCGTGGTCGAGTGGTTAGCACTTTTTGTCCCGCCAGTCCTGTTAAAGTTTTTGTTCGTTTTCTCACTCTCTCCAGGCAAATGCTGGAATAGTACTGTAAAGTAGGCTGCGATCTGTTCCACATTCTTTCCTTTTATATTGCAGTGAACTTGAAAAGCGTTGTTAAATAAACGTATCACCACTCGTCTAAATTTATTGCCGAAATCTAACAGCTAAAGAAATGGATGCGTTTTCTTGAATATTCTTGTTGTCCAGGTACTCGGGCTTTGCCCGGCGTAGTGTATGCAGTGCTTCGTGTGTCCATCCAGCTGTTTATTTTTCAGTATTATGTGTGTCAGTATTTACTGATCTCGAAATCGCCCCATAAAAATTTTGACATTTCCATGAAACCATTCCCAGTTTCCCACGTGATTGCGAAAAATTTTATTTTTTCTACAATTTGTTTAATAGACAAGTTCCTTGAAATAGGCCACCACCTACATCGACTTCATTATCCATTGAACATTTAAAGCACGAAATTCATCTAGATAATATTTAAAAAATTTCCGCTCTCAAAGGAAGCACACTGTGTCTCCATTACGAAGACAAGTCGAGTAAATTAATTAATGTGTATTTTGATTGTCATAGAACCCCACAAACACCGTCTATGTTCAAAATTCAGAGTTCTTGATTGTGAAGGAA